TCACCCTGCATCAAGGTACAGGCAATTAACAAACACTTTCCACCTTTCCGCTAGCCATTTCGTATCATTCCAAGTCTTACCAATTTTCTGTGCATCGTTTTCTGTGACTTTTTTCCAGGTTCCATGTAACCTTCCCCACTTGATCTCTTACTTGGTACGGTAGGTTCTTTCATTACATCGTATCAAACGAAATATCATTACTGTCCCTAGCCATCAACTGATCTACAGCATCAAATTAAAGTGGAAATAAAAATCCAATAAAAACTATAATTATGGCCAGCACACAGATTAAATCACAAAACAAGAACGTGTTTGAGGATTGTAAAGACAACCCTTGTGGGTTGCTTTTGCTTACAAAAAGAGGAATTATTTTTAGTTTGGCTCATTTATATGTGTACACGTGTATACTACACACATAGCTCGTGGGCATTCAACTGACTTTGATCCAGCACTCCTAATCATATCTAAAACGAAAAAACCCACTATGAAAACAATAATATATTATAACAAGCTCAGGGTTGTAGTAGTGATGTAATTCTTCAAACCATCCTCTTCAATTAGAACAAGACTAGAAGAGCAGAATCAATTATGTGTACCTGGACTGTAAAAAACAAGCTGAACTTATAGAATCAATTATGTGCACTTTCAGCTTAAAGGCTGAATCATGTCAACAAAGCAAGAAAACTTTATACTTTATATTTATAAGTAACATACACGTATACTGTAAGGAGCGTGCTATGTACAGAAAATAATCGTGCCAAGTTCACAACAAGAGCTGGACTTGGTCGGCGACAAAACAACCGATCAGTGACAAAACTAGTTCACTTTATATAATTTAACATAAAAATTGTCAGAAAAAATATTGACAGCACTGATCAACTCCAACTCTGCCCCCCCCCCCCTCCCCCCACCCCAAGTGTCTTCAAATAGGCTGAAAGAGACTACTCTGAAGATTATTCTTTCCTTGACATAAAAATATATGGGCAGAATGTCAAGTTACACCGAATTAATGAATCCCCCCCCCCCCCCCCCCCCCATCTGAGCTAACTGACCAAATTCTTAAACCTATCAAGGATCTGATGGCAAGTTGGCAAGTAACATTCAAAATGGGTTCAAGAACTGTTGATTTCATAATCCAGTCAGTAATACACTACACAAAAAAGACACTTACATGAGAAAAACAAGGTGTCCAAAAAGCATGGTTCTAATGTGTCAATAAAACTCATTATATATATGTACATATTTTATTACATGTGACAACGAAAAAATCATTTTAAGTTCAAAACAGTACAATGAGGAATACGTGTAAAAAATTACTGAGGTAACAAAAAATGTTCAAAGAAAAGATTCAGTCCATATCTCCAACATTTCTTTATAGAAAGAAGATTAAAGGTATTATAAATATATATATTTACCTCTATACAAAACTGTGTTCACTTCTAGTTATGTGCACTTGATTCATTTTTTTCCAAACCGCATCCCATGAACACTTAGATTAAGGCATGATTTTTCTTTCCTTCCAGACACAGGACCATGAAAATGAATGACAGGCTTATAGTTACCATTCAAAAAAGCTTACAAGCTAAATACACAGCGCTGTCCACTTATAAGCAACTCCCTGGGAAAACAAGCCTTTATTGCTGATTAGTTCTACTTTTACTTTTAGTAAAAGTTTTACTGCACTTGCAACACAATAAGGTCATGTAAGTGCAAAACATTAGAGGTATTACAAGAGAGCAACAAACACAAAAAAGGAGGAAAGAGATCTGGACAATAGAGGGTTGATAAGTAAAGAAGGAGCAAACCACATCAGAGCAGCCGCCAACTGCCCCCTGTTGCTTGTTGGGCAGAGGTTGCTGCTAACTGAATTTTCAAAAAGGGGGGGGGTTTAATCTTTTGTTTTAATTAGTGTTTAACAGCACTTGCAACACAATAAGGTCATATAAGTGCCGAAGATTAGAGGTGTTACAAGAGAGAAATAAACACGAAAAAGAAGGAGGGGCGATAAAGATGATAGATGTTAGATAGAGGAAAGAAGAAGCAAACCACACCAGAGCACCTGCCAACCATCCACAGTGTTTAATCTGTACCCATCCACACACCTCATACACCTATATATGCAAGCACCTGTCCTAATTGCATGATGTGATGACATTATGTCAAAAAGTGAGAACATAGGCAACGTCAGTGAGTGAGTGAGTGAGCCGATGCTCGATCACTGGGTGGTAGTAGTAGTAGTAGTAGTAGTAGTAGTAGTAGTAGTAGTAGTAGTAGTAGTAGTAGTAGTAGTAGTAGTAGTAAAGGTCCACACAATGACGGGACTTTTCTCCCTTTAAAAAAAAGTTTTAGTAGACGTTTTACGGCCCTCGCAACTGCATAAAGGTCATGTGAGCGCCAGAAGGTTAGAGTTGTTACAAGAGAGTAACAAACATTTAATAAAAAAGAAGAAGGGGGGGATAAGGACGATAGACGTTTCATAGGAAAGAAGAAGCAAACCACACCAGAGCCCCCGCCAACCACCCACGGAGAAACTTTGAAGTAAGGTGCCTCCTCACAACATAGTGTTATTAACTGAGCTCCTGTACTCAGCAGGTGTATTTTCACTTTAACTCTCACACAGGTGCTGCGAGGAGATTATAAACCAGAGAGGAGGGACGCAAGTACACTGAAAGTTTAAAAAGTATGTGTGTCAATCTCTGTGTTGACACGGTTGTTTCATTCCTCAACATTTTTTCGTCAGACAATCTATCGCAACAAAGGTTGCTGTTAAAAGAAAAGGTTGCTGTTGAAGGAGTTGATTTATAACATGAGGGACTGAGATGCAAAACCCGCTACATCCATTTTAGCACTTTTGAGAAAATGAGCTTTTTTAAAAATTCTGCTATATACGCACGAACATACGCAAAAAGAAGCTTTTTAGTGGCTTTTATGAAGTATGCGTTGGGTTTTGGTCGAAAACACTTTGGTGCATCTGATAACGGGTAACAATGTCACATGTGCATATCTCGATTTTTTCCCAAAATGTCGCTTTGTGGGTTTTGCATCTCACCCCTTTATAAAGGAAATTTCCCTTACACAAAAGCTTTGGCTTCTGTTAGGTGGAGGTTGCATAGAGTTGCTCTTAAGTGGACAGCACTACACTTCAATCTTTCAAGCTTTTGCCCCTCAAATTAGACTTGTGAGAAAAATTAATTTAGGAGTGACAGAAATAAAGTTTTTACGTTTTAGTTTTAGATAGAGTTTCACGGCACTTGGAACACAATTTGGTCATATAAGTGCAGAAGATTAGAGATTACAAGAGAGTAACAAACACAAAATAGAAGGAGGGGAGATAAAGAAGATAGATGTATGATAGGAAAGGAAAGAAGGAGCAAACAAGATCAGAGCATCTGCTGACCACCCAGAAAGAATAAAGAGAGTGCAGAAAGTATTCCATGAAAACTGGCATAGAGGGAAACAGACTGAATACACAAAAGTGGGAAAAAAAGGCTACAACTACAAGAGATTGTACAATTCACATAAATCAGTCAACATCTAAAGAAAAACCCATGACCAAATAACAAACAAATATACATACTTTAAACAGTAATGTAATGTCTCCACACTCAGCACAAATAATTGCTGTAAAAGAGGAATGGACGATAAAAACAAAGAGAGCAGCAACTGTTTTTCTCCGAACGCCGTGATAAAATAGAAAGTATGTGAACAAAACATTTGACGGTGTGCGCTAGTAAGTTATCTTTTTTAACACTTTGCAGTCTCTCAGCCAGCAGTGCAAAATACCCCATCTGGTCACCCAGCCAGGAGAGTGACTGCAACAGACTTCTTGGGCCTGGCACAAAACTGCACTAGGTGACTGGAACGGATAATTTTCATTGCCGCATTATTGCGCCAAGTGACAGCAAAGTGTTAAACCACAGTACGAAAATTATTAACGACCTCCCTTTTTCCTTAGCCTTCACTTAAAATTTTTTAAAACAAAACTAAAACAACAAATGAGACTTCATCACTGAGAAAGTTGTACAAATTGTCTAACTAAGCAAAATTTACCCACATCGTTGACAGTGAATGTTCCACGTCATACAGAAAAGCATCATGAAAAATTCAATTCTCAGTGCATTACTCTAGGATGATCACAACACAGATCAAGAGTTGCCAGTACATTACATGTACAAAATTACACAACCAGCTCTGGCAAAAGTGACGGCTAGGTCAAATGTGAAAAGGGGGGGGGGGGGGAGTCTCAAAAGCATTGTTAGAGTTAGTTCCTAGCTGATGAAACTGATTTTCGCATGATGAACAATGTCGCCCTAGATGTTTAGATTAGTTGTTTAGGGAATTGTGACATAAAAATCAGGATTCTCAAAACCTGTCAGTCTGACATCTGTGTGTTGCGTTCTTACTTACTCAGCACCAGAAAAGTACTCAAAATTCAAGGCCAGTTGGAAATAAAAAGTGCCGAACACATTTTCAAGAACCAAATTTTTTGCCTCATATTTAATATTGTGTAGAATAATTCCTAAATGACGAAAAGATTTCCACATCCTCTTAATTTCACTATGTGCATGCTAGACCGTATCTCTATTAAATAGAATCTCCATGGTATAGAGCCTGTTTTTCTAATTATGATGGTAAAGTCTGACTGAGCCTTGCTGACCAGTCTGTTTTCTAGAAGAAAATATATGGAAAGAGGTGCACAAATACAAATTATGGTGATGTGTTTTCCCTCACAGAGATCAAACATAATTTTAAGTGAGAAGATGTTTAAAAAAAAAAAATATATATATATAAATTTATAATATACATGTTAACAAAAATCAAGAAGTAGAAACTGTGCATGAAACAAAAATTTTGAAAGTTAAGGAGCAGGCTACTTCATGGTGATTGGCTTTTTTGATACAGAAAAAATCCAACATAGCATAATAGCATACTCAGATTAACAGAACACTCATCATGTGACAACCTTTAAGAAATGTTTCACCCTAAGAACGTTTTTTTTATACCATCCATTCTTTGCGGTGAAAAAAACACAAAAAAACCCAACCTTTTTGTTCGTAAGCTACAATCGCCTTGCGTTGCCCATACTTGGAAGTTTGTCAAACACCACCACAACTTTGTTCCTTTGTGCTTTAATCCAACGCTGTAATCTTGGGACATTTAAAAAAGGCCAGTTGATGCTAAGCACATGATACTCAGTCTATCCTCAAAATGCCAACTTTGACTAGGTGCTAGCCCTGAAGCCCCCACACTAAACGATTGAGAAATGAGAAACAATGTGTATTTCAAACTGCTAAAATATTAGTTGTCTAGGTATAGGATGAGCAGCTTTTATGACATGATACCACCCTATGTTTCCAAATATATAGTGATCATGTGAAGCTTGAATTTCGAACTCTGACTAAACCCATCTATAGAATCTTAATATATGACTTTTGACAGCTGATATGCTGTTTTGAGATTTACCACGCTTGGGAATCCCCATACTAGTTCCTCAAGTTCAAAATCTTCAACAATGTATTTCATTAATTACAAGAAGAGCTAAATAATTTAATTTACAGAGGTGTCTGTGACCAGTCTTCTCGAGCCCACACCAGACGACAGACAAGTACTTTTGTGGTCCCGATAAAGAGAGAAAAGTTTATAACTTTGGAATTGGAGAAAGTCGAGGCATGCTTCTATCAAAACTTGAATCGAGGTTGTCACTGTCTCGCAAGATGTGCATAAGAGGAGGTGCAAAGTCACCACTCTGAAGCGGATTTTTACAGCCATTACACATGCAGTTAGTACAACCTCTTTTTTCACTGTAGCAAGGACATTTCTGACCAAAACAAGTCAGGTGATTAGGTTTCTTGAAGCGAGCACAACGACAGGTCTTTGCTTTCGGCATTTTTGGTGGGCAGTGATTTGTCTTGGTTTTTAAGCCTGCTCGTTTGAAGTTGGGAACAATAGTAGTCACATCAGGAGTAAGAATTTCACATTCATTACCATCCGTCTTTTTCCCTGGAAGCTTTATCGCATGACTACCCTTGTTATTATATTTCTGGTATCGCTTTTTAGAAATTGTCAAAGTCAAGCGTGGTTTCCCTGGCTCATCTGTGGAACTGGTAACATCATTGACTGATAATTCAGGCCTTGAGTCATTTTCTTGCAGTTTGTGGTGACGCGTTTCTTTGCGAGCAACTTCAACCTTTAAATTGCCTGTTGATGAAACAGACTTGTCAACTGTAAGTTTGGACACAGGTGAGAGATTAGAGTTGTGGTCCTGATCACTACAGCTTCCTACTTCAATGCCAGAGTCAGGGTATGTGTCGGGTTGAACTTCGTCCAAAAATGTTTCTCGCCACAGCTGCCCAACACTGAATTTTCCTGACCTATCCCTGTGAGGTCGATGTGCAATAAGAAAATCGGTTGTATCAGGCGGCAACCTTTTATTGTAAGGCCTTGTAGTTTTAACAAAATTTCTCTTGTTTGGGAGATTTTTTATTTTGGGTGTCAGTGCCTTCTTCTTCAGTTTGTTCACACGTGCTCGAAGACTGTTACAAGATTTGGGTGTTCTCAGTGAAAAGCGACCAGCAGCTGTTCTTGGCCTTCCTCTACCTCTCTTCATCTGAACAACACCAACATTGGCACCACTAGTACTACTACTAGATTTACCATTCTGAAAGGTATTAACTTTTGAGTTATAGTCAGAAGAAACTGCTTGGAACTCTGAGGAAATCTTAACACCACCACAGGATGACTTTGATACTGTTGGCAGTTCCTTTGGTGGAGGCGTCAAGACATAGTCATCACAGAATCTTTCTGCCTCTTCCAATATCTTCAAGGTGCACTCTGCTTCAACACCACACCCATTGACCGAAGTTTTCGAAATTTCAGCTCCAAGCGGTGAACTAGAAACATACGCACACAGCTTTTTGAAACACAAGATCAACACTCTCAACTTCTTATTTTCCACAAAATGACCGTGATCTTTGCACCAACTACAAGAAGGCTTTAACCTCATCCGACCGCCAACACATGCCAAGCAAACATGATGTAAACAAACACCATGGGTAGGTCCTTGGGGGCGCAACATGATGCTTCCGCATACACAACAAGATAGCATCTGACGCAGACACGGCAAGTATTTGAACAATTCACACCACGTTGATTTGTCCGACGAATCTGCATTCATAATGTACCTGAAAGTTGAAAGGTAGAAATTGTAGGCATCCATTTTGCCGACAAAGTAGCTTCGAACCGCTAGAAGTGGCAATGTTTATATCGTCGTCGCCGACTGCAAAGATGTAAACACTTTTTTGGGGTGTGGAGTACCCAGAAATCAATGACGCAATATCAAGGGAAGTAACTGTTGCAACTTTTTAGTGTTACGTATGGGAGCTTTCTTTCGTGGAAATCACATAATTGGAGGTCAGCATAGATATATAGTGCTGAAGATTGCTGATATAAAGGACTGGGAAATCTCGAAATGGTGCTAAATAAAAAATTTAAAAAATAATTATAGGCCTACTGGTTAAGTGAAATCCTCTATTACAGTGGATTTTTTAAAAAAGCATTTCTTTCTCAGAAAATTGAAAATCTGGTGACAAAAGTGATAAGTATTACAATTTTGTATTTTAAATTTAGGCCACACTTTGATGTAAGACGTTAAATATGTAATAATGTGACTGAAAGGCATAATGTAATAATTTTTAAAATAGTTTATGAATTGACACGGCGTAGTCAATGAAAGGTAATTAATTTACAACCATGCTTTGAGCAACGAGCAAAATATCGGCAAAAGAGTATGTCTGAGGCACACTTATTATGCTGATGCTCTTCCAGTATCAACAGAACTTATTTCTAGACAGAAAAAGTCTCAGGGGCTCCACGGCAAGTTTTAGGACTAGATAATTATCTTAATGAAAGCTGACTGGTTTTAAAAAATGCTTTAGAATGACAAGTTCAGTGCTTTGACTGGACATTTGTCAGTAAATTAATTAACCCTAATGGTTGAGTGTAAGCCTGGTTACTAGGAGGTGTGGGTAAAAACTTTGTTGCATGTCGTTACATATAATGTAGACTCCAACATTCTAGCAGCTTAATGACACATAGGAAGGGAAGTTTTTAAACCAGCCCCCAGCCCCCAGCCCCCAGATTTGAGAGAATACTTTACAAAGATTTATGGAACCTGGAGCCTTTATCCTTTATCCAAGTATTCCATTTATTATTACGTGGGAACTTTCCGTCTCTCCTGCTTGCTCCAGCTACTTTCGGTTTACGCATAAGTGCTGAATTATTGTATTATGTGTCCGCCCTTTAGTTATAAACCTAGATAGTGTTCAAGGTCGATGGTGAAAAAGGGGGAAAAAGCAGGGGACACAACCCATCGCTTCCGGACACGCAGTAAACATACACAAACTATTATAGGCCTACTCTTGGACTCGGGTTATTTTGTGTAATCATTTTCACAACCCGATTTCCAATACCCTGTCCTTTGAATTACTCATCATGCTGCTACTTAATTAGGACTGCTTCTTTCTTGGAGAGTAATAGTCTTTAATAATAGATATATAGATTATCTAGACTAGATTCTAGATTTAGATCTACATTCTACTGTTTATGCAGGTGAGTGGTTATGCCAAGTTATGGGGGGGGGGGGGGGAGTATAGTATATGTTTGGTCCGAGCATGCTTTAACATGTTGTAAACATAAGTGCATAAAGTCTTATATTATTTTTTTAACTCTGCATTAAATGTTTGTTCGTTTACCTTTGGGTTTTACATACCCATCGACTCAATCATGGCCATTTTAGGAGATGGCAGGCTTGGTCCTCGGTCAGGACACCGGCAGGCACAGAAAAATGCAGTTATGAAAATTTGGCTTGACGTTGATTCGAACCCAGAACCCAGCCAACTACAAAAACAAACCATTTCTCTAACAACATGCCAAATTTCAAGTTTCTGTGTTGGAAAAAATAAAAATGGTGGAGAACACCCCCCCCCCCCCCCCCCCCCGGCATATATATGCAAGCAAAAAAAGGTGAAAAAGTGTTTTTGAGAAAAACAAGGTTACACATCGAAAATGTTAGTACACTATGTAAAACCCAGTAAAATTGAATTCTGTTAATGTTAATCGCTCTCATATGACTTTGTGCAGTTACTAGCGCCGTATAACGCTTACTAAAATTTATGTTAATCACTTAGCAACTAGTGTCAATAAAATCTAGACTGAATGAGGGATTGGAAAATACCAAAAGTAAAAAGTGCTCAGAGTGAGTGAAAATCTTTCACCGAGACCCTTGTTAATGTTTTTCTTTTCTTTCAGAGGATGCACATTTATGAGGCCAGTGCTGCCTTAGAATCCAAGAAACAGTACAGATAGATTTCCAGTTCAGGAAAAGAGACAACATGTCTGATGAAAAAGGTGAAGCGAGTCTGCCCCCCTCCGGGGCTGCAACCCCTAAAGGCAAGGTAAGAAGGCACAAGTGACAATGGGCGCTACAAATGACCGTATCCATTGTGGAACTAATTTGAAATGGGTTTTTGAAAGTCGAGCTATCTTACTTTTATGAGAGATAATGGCAGTGGGAACTTTCTGTAATATCAAAGTGGGTTAAAGATAGAAATACATTAGTCACCGCCTATGATCCTATTACTCGGTAGTTGGGGGGAAAAACCGGGATGGTAAACAAAGGGATCTCATCTTATCTGGACTGCAAATTTAAGCAAACCATGACGGAATCAGAAATATTCCCCCCCCCCCCCCCCCCCCCCCTCCTCCTCTCCACCTCAAATGAAGTCAACAGGAGTTATGATGCATGTATGATTTATGATGAGTGAAGAGTCTTCATCATGTTCTCATTGTGTTTGTTTTGACTCCTGTCCCAGCTGGACTCGCTGAACAGAGAAGACCTTGTGAAGTTTGTCAAGCGGCAAACAATGCTGCTCCAAAAATTGAAAGTTAAAAATGGAGGTAAGAATAGAATACATGAAAATTAAGTGTATATGAGGGCTCTTCAGTGTGTGTAAATGAAAGTATTATTTAACTGATAATGAATATATCTGCTGTGTGTTATTTCTGTTGTAAGTGTACTTGTCTTTGTCTCTGACTGCAGCCATCTGGAAAATATTCCTGGGGGCTATCTTAGTTCTTCTTGTCTTATGACCTCACCCTGCTATATGTCTACTTTGTCAACTAAAAAGAACAGGTACAAGCAGTAAATATTTCTGGAGGAGAAAAAGCAATGGGGGAACTCATTGAAAATACTCTGATCTCTCCTCCTTTTTCATGTTTGTTGCTCTCTTGTAAAACCTCTAATCTTCGGCACTAATATGACCTTATTGTGTTGCAAGTGCTTACTAAAACTAAAAACTCTCTTTGTCCTCTTTGTTTTTGATTGATAGTCAGTCACACTATTTGTTTGTAACAAGGACAACTTTCTACCAATGCTCCTTTCCCATGTCTCTGTAATTCCTTTCAGCTTCTTAGTTTTTTCTTCACCTTGCTTTGACCCATGTGGTTTCGATTTGGTTCACTGTCATATAATCTTATGTCCACAGAACTGGAAGCGAAAATTGCGGAAAAAGAAAATCTTAAAGAACAGGAAGTGGACACAGCCAAAAAAAATGTAAGGGATAGGCGCAATCATATTTGTCCAGCAGCATTTTAATGTAATTATTATTTTTTATGTCCTCACCGGTGTCGTTTAGATTGTGTAGGTGAGCTTTTTTAACACTTTGTCCCCACGGGACGCCGATCGGCGACGGTAAGAAGCCGTCCCTTTTCCCCACATGACCCCGGTCGGTGACGGTAAGAAGCCGTCCTTTTTCCCCACATGACCCCGATCGGCGACGGTGTGATATAGCATGTACCGCACCTGTATACTGGTCCGTTGGGATAAGTGTTGCGCGCCCAGCGCGCTGCGTAGGTGGAAAGTGTTAACTTCACGTGTCAGGGCCACTGAGGCTTTATTTTTAAAAGACTTCCTTACTCAGGAATCTAACTCAATCCTCTAACGTTAAAACAGCAAAGAACTTAACCGGAACACCGCAAACGTTGGTTTGCTTTGTATCTATAGCCTTTTGTTGTCAAGTTACTTTACTTTTACTTTACTTTTATCCGCCGCTTATAGGCTGCCCTTATATGGGTGTCGCGGGAAGAAAAAGACGTCAATTTGTTGTCAATTGTTGTCAATAAGAGTATAAAAATGGACCTGTAAGTTAAAACATTAAGCTGGTTCTTGTAAGTTTTTTTAAATTGTAATAAGTGATAAAAAGTTATATAGTTTTCATGAGATCTCTTCTGTACAGTTACTTAAAGTGTGATGCTTTTACTGATAGCATTTGGTTTCCATTCATGATTTTTGGGGAAATAGATTTACATGCAGATTTATTTCTAGGTATTATAAAGTGTTTCTAGCACTCTTTTGGTCAAGTGTGAACCACAGTTGGTCACTTTTAAGGACAGGCGGGCTGACCCAGATTTTGGGGGTTTACAGAAGTCTTGACCCACACCAAAAGTGGGCATTGCCCTACCTATAGGAGAAATTTGGTTTCATAGGTGTGTATATTTGTTTGGTTATAGAGAAAACTCTCCTTGTCTTTGAAAGAAACTGAATAAGGGTCAAAAACTTTACCTTCGATTTTCTCAAAACAGCAATTTTCGGGATAGTCCCATTGTGCTTATAAGCGACCAGTTGATATTACAATGTCTGTTTTGTGTCCACTTTACGCGACTTCCACAGCAACTGGAGGAGCAGCTGGCCGAACTGCAGCAGGAGAAAGAGGAGGCTGTGGCGGCCTACAGGTCAGCTCAAGCAACTCAGGAGGCTTCTCACGATCAGATGAAGGTACTTGTAGCCAATAACGTGTGGTTTCTTCTACCGTGTTGAGTATTGAAATTTCTCAGCAGTTTCTCCAAGGGATGAAAACTGCTTGACATACGTGGCGAAAAAGTTTCTTGTCTCTCTGGGAGTTTCATTTATTTGATTTGTTTTAATAACATGAGGACTAATGTCTTTGGTTTGTTTGTGGGTTTTTTTGCACCCCATTTCTCAGTCTAAACTGTCTATATATATTTCATATCATCAATATATTGTCAATTGTAATACGTTGGACTCCAAATACTTTAAACTGGAAAGCACACAGCATTTTTATAACGAAATAACATATATGATAACTGGTTTTATTCAGAATATGAAACTATATAAAAGGAGATGAAGACTTTGCTTGGTATGAACTGTTTTATCAATTCTTGTCCTGTCAATTTCAGGTGCTGGAACAAAAGTGTCAACAGTTGGTGGAGGAGAAGGACGCTGTCTGTGACAAATTTGTCAAATTTGAAAAGAAGAATAAGGTAGGTGTTATTACAAATCTCTTGTGTATTTCTGCTTATGAGATGCTGTTTATAGAATGGTATCATCATCATCCGGTGCCTTGCCGACTGGCGTGGGCAATCATGGACCTCCACTTCACTCTGCCTTACGTTGCAGCAATGGTGTCTGTTGTTCTTGCTGCTCCTATCCATGTTGTCATCTTGTCCAGTATCTTTTCCCTCTGTCTGCCTCTGCCTCTCTTTCCATCAAACTTGCCTGTTGTTACAATAATCTCCAATGCTTCTTTCCGCATTGTGTGTCCAATGAAATTTGACTGTCGCTTTCGTATATATTCGTCATAAGCTGTCGTCTGCAATTTGCTTCAAACAAGACTTCTTCATTTGTTTTTCTAGCTGTCCATGGGATACGCAGCATGGTATATGTATGGTCTATTTTTTAAATTTCATATTCCCCTGTTATTCCATACAGGTAAAATATAATTTGGAATATATTGAATTTCAGTAAGTGGTTACAATAACATCACAGTTGAAAGAGGTAGTAATTACTTTCTGTTAAGGGTTTTTGTTTATTTAAGTAAGATACCACATCATAATAATGTTGAAATAACATAGCAGGAGCGGGGCCTCTCTAGATTTACAAAGACATTCATGGCCAAAGTTGTGAGGACCATGTTAATGCAAGAAATGTGAGAACACACACGCTATGCAGAAGACTTTGAATTCTTGAATTAATTTTAGATTCATTCGGCATTATGGGTAATTCAAGATAAGTTGTTACTGTTTTATCTTTATTTATTCACCCTCTCCTTACCTTTTCCTCTGTAGGTCTAAGGAAATGTTGCTCTTGTCATTTTTTTATACCAAACTTTATTTTCTTCCTTTTTTTCTCTCTCGATTTAAGAATTGTGAGTGCAGTAATCATTATACCTTCAGCTGATGTTTTGTTATCACTATTTGCTGAAGTTCAGAAACCCCTCAACCTTTTGTGAGCAGTTCTGAAAGAATGTGAGTTAAAAACTTCTCTGAAAAGATTCCGGTTATTCTACTCCTGTTTACATCAGTAATATTTGTTTTTTTGTATGGTTGAAGAAGCTGAGAGGATGCTGCGAGTAGTTTTCAGCAGTTTTATGAAATTTAAACACTCCCTGTGAAATATTTTTCTTGTTGTCAATAATGCTGCTTCTCCATGAACAAATTTTGTCTCTTTTTATTTGACAACAGGAGTTGCTGGAAGAAATTGAGTGTTTGAAAATGAAGGATGAAACTTTGATGTCAACTTTGCAGTGTCTACAGCAAGAGCAAGCAACTTTAGCCGATAATAATAAGGTATAATAATTTTTTTTAAAATAAATAAATAAATTACTCTTTTATTTGTCCCAGAAGGGCACTTTGTTTTACAATGGCAAACATACATACATAAATACATAATTATAAATACGTACATACATAAATACAAACATGCATAAATATATGCATAAATACACACTATTACACAAATACAGAACAGTTTACAACCATGCCACTGTCGGTCGCCACTGCGCAGCGCCCTGTATTTTTTAGCTAGGGTTGTCGTGTCTTGCTCAAGGACACACCCCAGTGATCACCCATCTGATCCGCGTGTCACCGAGTGTTCTGAAAACTATCATGTCTTCTTCACTAACTGTTTTGTTTTTCCTGGCACTGCGTCTGGTTTTGTTGCTTGTGCAGAAAAAAAAGTGTATTAATATAACTATTGCCAAATACTGTCAGAACTTCAAGAGTGCAAGCTTATAGAGTTCTTGATTTTTGTAAATTTTATTCATTGGTTGTAGCAAGAGTTCGAAGAAGCCTGTTATGGTAAACATTTGTTGCAGTTTATTTCAAAGACTGTATTATAAGACTGACAATTTACTCTTGTATTAACTCTTGCACATAGGCCTCAAGGTTGTGTAATCTCCCCTGTCTTGTCTACGCTTTACACCAACCACTGTACTTTTGATAACAAAAACATCAAACTAATAAAATTCGCGGATGATTCCACTCTACAAGGCCTATTATAACAAAAAATGAGAGTGATGACAGGGACACTGTTAATGTATTTACAAATTGGTGTGATAACCACTTCCTTTGACTAAATATGTTAAAATCAACCAAAGGAATTAATAAACTTTAGAGTAAAAAAAGACCAACTGCAACCACTATGTATTAAAGATGAGGAGGTGGAGATGGTAAGCTCTTACAAATATCTTGGAATAACAATTGATAACAAGCTTGACTGGCATCCACACGCTGCTCTTGTGCATAAAAAAGTAAATCAAGGAAGGTTCCTTTTAAAGAAATTAAGAAGTTTTCGTGTCAATAATAAGATTCTGTCCCTTTTATACCATTCTATGATTGAAAGCGTGCTATTGTTTTGTATTTGCTGCTGTGCTGGGAATTGTAGGGTAAAAGATAAAGAAAAATTTGACAGAACCACTAGGATAACCAGCAAGATTTGTGGATATGATTTTACTAGAATTTTACAGGTATAAAAAAGATAAAAAGCATTATAAACAACCCATCACACCCCCTTTCCACGTAAATTGTAAGATCAGGCAGTGGCAGATATGTACCTTAAAAAACAAAGAAAGAAAGATATTTAAAAAGTTTTTTTACCTTCTAGCTTAAGGCTATTGTCAGAATAAGCATCAATGTGTATGCTCTTTCAAGTTTGTATCTAACATAACTCTAAAGGCCTTGTAATTAAATTCCTGCATGTGGTTGGATGATGCATCTGACATACGTACATTTTATCAGCTTTACTTCTCTTTTCATATTGAATTTTAATTAGAGTAATAATAATATAATTTAACTTTTTATGTATACCTGCATATGTTTTTACGGTCCTGTACAGCCAAGAAAAATTTCCCTCTGTGATAATAAAATATTATCTTGTCCTGTCTTAAACTTCTCAGTACGTGATCAAGTGTTAAATGGCATGGCACAGAATGGTACAGTAATCTGGTGTAGAAGTCACGCTGTTTGGTGATGTTCAAGTTGGGAAGTAATTGTACTTAATAAGGTTATATTTACACTGGAGGTTTGCTTATAATGTATAATAATATACATTTTGTTGCCTACAGGTTCTGATATCGGAAAAATCATCCCTTCAAATCAAAGTTGAAGATCTGGAGGGTGACGCTGCAGCTTGGAAAGAAGAAAAAGAAGCGCTTTTAGTTGAGTTTGGTTCTTTTAAAGATTCAAGCGAAATGTTAGGAAAAATGGAGGAGGAAAATAAGAGACTGCAGGAAAATCTTGACCTGGCGAAGAAGGAGAAGGAAGAAGCTGAGAGCAAACTCGAAGCCTTCCAGGATAAATTTGAACAGAAACAGGAGCAGGTTGAACTTCTTCAGGCTGAGATTGGCAGACTGCAGGACGAAGAGCAGAAGAGGCTGGAGCTCTCCGCCCAGCTCGCTCAGGCCCAGGAGAAGCTACAGGAGCTACAGGGTGAGGCAGACATGAGGAACAGTGTTGAGGGAGAGCAGGACAAGAGGCTGGAAGCTTTGCTGCAGGAACTAGAGGAGGTTAAGAGATCTGCTGATAACACGAGGGTGGAGTGTGACCAGAAAGTACAAGCTCTGACAGCTGATCTCGAGAGAATGTGTTCCGAGAAAGAAAGTCTCACTGAAGCTAATCATCAGTTATCGGCTGAGTTGGAGCAGAGTAGAACTGAACTTGGTGAGAGTGTGAGGTTGTTAGAGCAGACTAAGGCTGAGGCAACGCAGTCACGAGGAGATGAAAGTGGACAACATACTGAGGAGGAAGTAGCTGTTGTAACAAAATCGCCCGGAGAAAGAGAGACAACCGATGTTGAAAGCTCTCAGATACAAACTCTTCAGGCTGAATTAGACAAGGCTAGGGCCAAACTGTCCGACTATGAGGCCAGTCTGGGCGATGAAGTTAGCATTGATGTTATTCAAAACCTTCAACAAGAACTGACGGAGGCCAAGATCAAAATAAGTGAACTGGAAGCGGCCACAAGTGATGGGGATATGAAATCGAGTAAAGAGAACCTGCTAGAGGGCGAGGGGGAGAGAGGTATCGACACGGAGGAAAAGGATGGAAATAATTCTGGTTGTCCAGAGTCGACTCTAGATTGTCAGACGTACACAGAGAAAATCCGGCGTTCTATTCAGGTGGTCAGTCAAACGTTCAGCGAGGACACCACCAGCGTAGACGATGGACCAGCCACTGTGGAAGAGCTGACCCGTAAAGTGGCCGAGCTGGAGGCGGATCGGAGTGAGCTGAGGGCCACGGTGGAACGTCTGGAGGGGGAGAAGGGTGCCGGTGCTGGCGCTGAGGGTGGTGACGGTGAGGGAGCCCGGGGGCAGGTCATGGAGGGAGGGGGAGATAACTACCCCGAGGTGCTGGCAGAGCTGGAGGCGCGTCGACAACACCTGGAGGAGAAGCTGGTGGTGCTGGGTGACAAACACGAGACGCTCACCTTTGAGTTGGAAGAGGTGAGAGGGGTCACACATACCGTACTTCGTGAGGTTTTTTTGTTGTTGTTGTTGTTGCTGTTGTTGTTGTTGTGAAACGATGATTCTGTTTTATGTGCCCGTGGGTGGTTGGCGGGTGCTCTGGTGTGGTTTGCTTCTTCTTTCCTATCAAACATCTATCGTCCTTATCTCCCTTTCTAATTTTTTATGTTTGTTACTCTCTTGTAACACCTCTAATCTTCTGCGCTCATATGACCTTATGCGTCTGCAAGCGCCGTAAAACCTCTACTAAAACTAAAAACTATTTTGTGTGCCCCGTCTTTGGTTGGGTTTTGGTTTGGTTTTAGTAAGAGTTTTACGGTACTTGCAACACAAGTAGGTCATGTGAGTGTGGAAGATTAGAGGTGTTGCTAGAGAGTCACTTTCAGAGAAAAGGAAGAGGAGCAATAAGGATGATAAATGTTTGATGGGAAAGAAGGAGCAAACCACCAGTGATTAAGGAGGGAGAGAAGGGTTGGAAGGTGAGTCTTCTTGGAACGCAATACAGAATTGCCCTTCAATCTTTTATAAAGCTGATTTTTATCAAGTTTCTATTGAAAGAAACATGGTTTTATGTTTATTTTCAATGCTGTAACTTGTGGAGATGGACAATATATAATATATTATGCCTGAAGTACACTGTAGACAATGGTTTAGAAACCATAATATTTGTCTGGTGCTTTTTGAACTCTTTAATTGGTCGCTTTTAAGCACAAGGGGGCTATCCCGATAAATACTGTTTTGAGAAAATCGAAGTTAAAGTTTTTGGATCCTTATTCAGTCTCTTTAAAAGACAAGGAGAGTTTTCTCTATAACCAACCAAATGTACACACCAATGAAACCAAACTTCTCTTATAGGTAGGGTAATGCCCACTTTTGGTATTTGTCAAGATTTCTGGAAACCCCCAAAATCTGGGTTAGCGTGCTTGTCCTTAAAGGTGACCAATTAGTCTTCTATTGTACTTCACACAGTAATCTTTTTGGTTTTTTTTTCCCCTTTGCCGGTGTCCAGGTGCAGGCTGAGCGAGACAGTATGAGAGGAGAAATGGATTCCCTCCAGAGGCAACTGAGTGAGTGGGAGAACCTCATGGAGATGCTCAAAGGAGAGAAGGAGCAGCTGGCACAGGTGGGTAGCCAACATGGCTTATTTGTGTGTATATGTATATATATATATTTATCTTTACGTGTGTGTATATATGAGGGGGTGAGATGCAAAACCTGCTCAGCGACATTTTGGAAAAAAATTGAGATTTTTGGCTTATAAATGAACATTGTTACTGGCTATTAGATGCGTAAAGTGTTTTCATCCAAAACCCAACACATACTTCATAAAAGCCACCAACGCATGTTCGTGCATATAGCAGCATTAAAAAAAGCTCATTTTCTCAATAGTGCTAAAATAGATGTAGCAGGTTTTGCATCTCAGCCCAATATATATATATATATATAGAGAGAGAGAGAAAGAACATATATATAATATTGTTGCGTCAGAAGCAATGCACTTAAGTTCAAATTTAGAGAATTTTCTATTTTTACACCCTCCTGAAGCTCTTTCCACATCACCAACATATAGTTTCTTTCTATGGTAAAGGCTTACAATTTTCTTGTTTTTCATGATTCCTGACAGGAACAACACAACGAAAACTATATTTTTTTTGGGTCTCTTGTGTAAAAAGTACCCAAACGGACTTACGTGGATTGCTTGCAACCCTATAGATATGGTGCTATGCTCTTAATGTGTGGCTAGCTTCCTGAAAATTTCTCAACTCATTAAAAATCTCTCCAATTTATATAATCATTAAATCTTTCCCCTCGACGCTGAACGGCAACAGAGGATGAAAAAGTAGAAAAAAGGATTAAATCTTTAAAGCAGCAGTTCTGTCTCCCTTTGCGTTTATTCAGGAACTGGAGGAAGCCACCAACAGGGATGAATCGCTCCGGAAGGAACTAGAATTTCTTCTGTCGTCCCTCAATGAAGCTATAACGGAGCGGGACTCTCTGCAAGACGAAGTGTTCAAAATGCAGGTGAGAAAGCTTGCTTAGTTGGGTGGTTGGCCGGTGCTCTGGTGTGGTTTGCTTCTTCTTTTCTATCAAACATCTATCGTCCTCATCTCCCCTTCTTCTTTTTTGTGTTTGTTACTCTCTTGTAACACATCTAATCTTCTGGCGTTCATATGACCTAATGCAGTTGTGAGCGCCGCAAAACCTCTACTAAAACTAAAACTAGCTTGCTTAGTTGTGACTTTTCTTGAGGATGAGAAGACCAGGATGCTTTGTCAGTTTATATTTACTGTTACCTGTTTTTGCTAATTCAATTATCTGTTGTACAAAGATTTACACACGTCCCCCCATGGTTTTAGAGTCCACCTCCAGGTCATGCCTTGATGATTCCCCCCCCCCCCCCCCCATACACACACATACAGAAAACCTACAACACATACACAATTTATCTATTTAGTTGTTGAGAAGTAGCTCATTATTTAGTGAGGGGCAGTGCCACTGATTGAAGTGTCTTTAGGCCATTCCGAAAGGGGGGACATTTCTCATTCTCATGCGCAGTAGAATTGTAAATGGGCTGATTCAACGTCATGCTCATTACTGTGCCTGAACTACATCAGGGAACTGCTGCTTTTTCTTTCCTAATCCTTACTATTGTCATTTTCCTCTACTTCTTTTGTATGTTTGTCACACTCTTGTGACCCGCTATTTCCGGGTGCCTTGATAGTCAGAGCAGACCTTGTGCTGTTGAAGCTAGAGAGGTGAGCAAAGTAACCCCGGTTCCCTGTAAAGACTTCTCTGTTGACATGCACCCCTTGGCGCTCATATGATGTTATGCAGTTGCGAGCATCGTCGAACCTCTACTAAATAAAATAATAAAAAACTTTAAAAAGTCAGCATGATTTACTTTTGTTGCAAGGTGAACTTTGCTATATATTCTTTTAGATCTTGCACCACTGTGCTGTTCATGTAAAAAACAAAACCCACTTGACTGTCTCTGCGTTCTTTTACTCCATCAGTAGAGTACCTTATAATTTTTACTGATTTTTTTTTGGAAAGATTACTTTATGGATCTTTTTTTTAGGATGGCAGCGCTTTGGGAGAAATGAAAGAGATGAAATCAATGATTGATGACATAATCAAAGAACGAAACAGACTACTCTCAGGTAAGATTTTTTTTTCATCCCTCATCGAATATTATTTGAGTTCAGTGTGGAAGTCATCTTTATGTAGATTGGGCTAAAGAGCAGACATTCATATGAGCTCTACCGGGGTTGTAATTTGTAGATTTTAATGAAATAAAAAGAAGACTGATAAAATAATTTTTTACTTTCAGGTGCTGTTGACAGCTAGAAATAAGTGTTTTGGGAATGTTACGCTGCTTTTTCTCTCGCTGGCACGCTTGTTGCTAGAGTTCCTAGGTTATGATGAGACTTTATTATGTATAATATTATACTGTTATCAGAATTTCCTTAACTCTTTGCCATCACAAGGCTCATATTATAGTAAAAACCCTTGCCATCAAAGGCAAAGGCATTTTGGGGGAAAATCCAAAGAAACTGGGTGGTAAACATCGCCGATCGGCGAGATGTGACGCCAAAGTGTTAAACGGGTTCATGAAACTGGATTTTGTTTTATTTTCTTGGACAAAAGTTTTGCCAACATATTGAACTTTCTTGCAGAAGGAAAAAAAAAGAAAGAAAATTGTGATTCACAATGTTCGGGGGGTTTTTTGTTTGTTTTTTTCTCATAGAACTGGATACCGTTTTAACTGCTAAAGCAGACCAGGCCATCGCTATTGAGGGACTCAAACGAGAACTGAAGGAAGTTCAAGAGGAGAAGACGGATATAGAAAGAGAGAAGGAGTCCCTCACAGTGCAGGTGCACCTGGCAGAGGAGAAAGACAGCAGCGTTGGGGAAGAACTGGCTCAGGTTTGTGCTCATGACTTCTCTGTCTCCTTTAATAAGCTGTGGTGGCCCTTCATTATGAAAGAAATGTCTTTTGTTTCAGTAAATTTATGTTACTCTCAGCATGACTTAGATTTATATGTTAATAGCTGTGCCACTTCGTATGAAAGAAATATCTTTTGTTTCAGGAAATTTATGTTACTCTCAGCATGACTTAGATTTATATGTTAATAGCTGTGCCACTTCGTATGAAAGAAATATCTTTTGTTTCAGGAAATTTATGTTACTCTCAGCATGACTTAGATTTATATGTTAATAGCTGTGCCCCTTCGTATGAAAGAAATGTCTTTTGTTTCAGTAAATTTATGTTACTCTCAGCATGACTTAGATTTATATGTTAATAGCT